ACACTCCTTGGAGAGAACAATCATGGGAGAAAGAAGGGCTGCTTATGCACAGGGAGACAGCTCAGGGGGCAGGAGTACATGGAGGGATGGACACAAGGAAGAGGTAACCATTGGCAGAAGTGGGAGGGGAGCTGTTGCATTGGGATAAATTGTAGTCAATGTCATGAGACAAAATGTACGTGAACTGCTGTATGGAAAGTGAATTTGCTCTGTTAATTTTCACCCAAATCACAATTAAAAAAAAAAAAATTGTAGGAAAAAAAAGAATAAATTATAACATAACTTATAAAACTTTGTTAACAATTCTCTCCTGTGGATTCTGAAAGGGTACATGAATAAACTCTGCTTCATTTCATCAGAAAATATTTTTATTATAGACTTTCAGTTTTAAATCAAGTATTAAAAAGGAGAAAATGATGAGAAATATTTTATGCTTGACCTAATATTTTAAGCCATTCTTTTTTCAAGCAGAAAAAGAAATTCAGGCTTGATTTGTTATGTTAGAGCCCAGATGTGCTAAGGATATCAACAATATAGGACATGCTAAGAGGAACTTACAAACTTATTCAGCTTTTTAAGGGAAAGCAAAAAAGAACTCCAGAACATTAAAAGTACCTTTACCTCGTAGTGAACAAACTGGTCCATTTTCTTGATTCTTAGAGCGCTTATTTCTGAACTGACTTGGAATATCTAATGAAAGGTCTTAAAGAAGACAGGAAAACAGAGAACTGTTAAAAACCATGTAACTATACTCAGCAAAAAATAACTTTCAAAAACAGATGTATTTCTAAAGATTTATCTCACTGCTTAATATTTCAAAGGAAATATTAAAATTCTTGTTTTAATAAAATATCTTATATCCACATGCCAAATATGTCTTACCTAGGAATGGGTCAAACTTTCTAGATTCTGTCCCACATATGAGACAGTTAACCTCATTTTGAAGAATGCCTCCAAATATAGCCGTGACAACAGTAGATGCTCCATTTCTAAAGAAAACAATCACATAGGAAAACATCTTAGTAAAAACACTCTCCTTGGCATTTGAAAAACTGAAGTAAACATTTGCAACACCCACTATAGGTGACTCCTTTAGCGGAATATGTGTATCACATATATTTATTTAAATTACAAAGTAATATAAAACTTCAAAGCTATGTATACATAGATAAACTAAAAGGGTAAAGCAATGGGCCTTCCCTAAACCCCCTTCCACTCCCATTACGCTCTCCAGCAGTAACTAACATGGGTGTGGCACCACCCTGTCAGGCCTTTGCTCCTTACTAATTAACATATCATGTACACGCCTACATGCAGGGCAAGACGACACTGCCACACAAACACACAAACTCACTGCTCAGAAATAAGGAAACTGCCTTGTATTGGAATCTGTGAATGGCCTTTCAATTACTTTACTTTGAACACAACCTCAAATGGGGATAATTGTAGGTATTTTTAGACACTCATCTATCAGATTCAGGGAAAAGGAGGTAGAGAGATTTAATACAGATTCAGTCATTTTATTTCTGCACATATGACTTTATAATTGGAAGTAGTGAATGTTACTAAAAATAAGCCTTTTTCAAAAGCTCACTTTAAAAAGACAATAGTGTAACTAATTTCCTCGTGGCAATCAAGAACAGTCACAAAAAGCACTGTCATAATGCTACCCAACCTTTCCATGCTTCAGCTTCATTCCTGTAAAATAGGAAAAACAGGAAAGGGATCTACCTCAGAGGCCTCATGTGTCAATAAAATGAGTTATACATCCAAAGTGCTTTTAGAAGAGTGCTTAGCAAACAGAAACCACTTAAAGTGTTTGCTACTATCTTATTAGCATAAAGTCAAATCATAGCTGCTGCTTGTTTTTTTTTCCCCATAGTGTGTATCTTGAACATGTACCACAATCTTTATGGCAGCTACATGGCATGCTACAGTATGGACACAGCATGGACACAAGAACCACCAAGAAAATACACCAGTGAGAGCATGAGGAACAGCAAACATGTGCTTACAGGCACTTAGTACTTGCCAGCCTCCATCCAAGTACTCTCCTCTCAAATCAATCAATCCACAGAACAACGCTATGAGGCAGATACTACTATCCCCATTTTACAAACAAGGAAGCTGAGACCCAAAAGCTAAGTAACTTAGGGCAAGGTCACTCAGGTGGTCAGGTCTGAGAATCTGTGCTCATAACACTATATTCCTTCTAAGAGTTAACCAATACAGTATTAATGGATAGTGAAATTGGTTTAACTATGTGCTAACATTAACAGTGCTACAACGAACACTTGCATATTAGCTTTTTTTGCAGTAATGCAATTAGTTGAGTCAGTAAATTGCCTGTTTGCTGATAGTACTTTGAGGTGGTTTCAGTCGCTTGCAATTAACAAAGTATGCTTTCTCAGCTGCTCTAAATTTAAACCTACTACAGTGATGAGGCAGACTAAACCTAACCTATTCTAAAAGCTTTCTTTTCTAGGAAAGCTTCTTTCCTTTACTGGCAAAAGAAATGTATTACAGCTTTATTTACAAAAAAAAAGTTTTGATAAGACATACAGGTCTTTGTAAATAAAAATGGAAGAAACATTGGGAACTACAGGATATAAATGCCATTTCAAGTTTTAGGTTTAATATCTGTGTCACAAACAAAAGACATACCAAAAAATACCAACTGAGAATGAGGGGACTATAGCTGATTCTTTCATGGGGATGTTCACAGCCAGTGTTGCATTTAATTAAAATGGAAATGGCTTTTCTTAAAAAGCAATATATCTAAACTCAATATAGTTCTTCTTTAAAACCTCTTCCTCCAATAAATGGATGCCCACCAAGTTTCAGCTATAATTTATAACTAATTTATGAGGTATTAATTTTAGGTGTACCATGACTTAAACAGGAGCTCTGGTAGTGTAGTGCCTAAGGCACTTGACTGCTAACCAGAAGGCTGGCGGTTCAAACCCATCAGCCACTCCT